CCATCATTGACCGCTTTGGTAACAAAGCACAATTGGTCAAAATACAGGCATCAGCTCCAGCATCCCCCCATCAAACAGGAGGCCGTCTGCATCCTGACCTGTGGTCCTCACCACCGGCGCAGATGGCAGCCCATGTCGGGTTTCTGAATGCCTGACCGAATGACCTCAGCTTCCTGTCCTGAGCTTTGAACACTGATCTCCCTCAGACCCCAGGCTCAATTTCTGCTCTTTCTGTTTCCCGTCTCACCAGAGTCCTTGTTATCTGTCCCTGTAGGAGCTTGTCAAACGTGGTCCTCTGTTTGATCCCTCACCTTCCTCCTTGAAAATCCCAGTTCATGCAAGAAGTCTGAACACTGAAAGAGCAAACAACAGACTCAGCAAACAACGGGTGAAAATCAGAACAGGGGCTAAAATGACCACATGTCTAAATGTCCTCAAAAACCCTGGGCAGGATGGAGAAGGAGGAAAACAGTCTGGGAAAGACGCTGCTGTGCCTGGAAAGACAGCCAAGGGTTCAGTCTTGATTGCCTACAGTTTTCTCTGCACTCATTATGCTCATTCACAAGCCTAGTATTATTTTGATGTCATTATTCTGCGGATGGCCTTGTTTTTATTTTTTAGAATACAAGAAAGGGACAAAAAGAATCTCTTTACAAGCCTGTCAGGCACCCTTTTCTCTTTTCAGAGGAAGGGAGTGGTTGAATTTATATCCGCAGAGCCATTCATGACCCACGATTTCCCTAGAGCCAGGAAAGCAGGGTCCAGGGGCTGACTTGCAGTCCTCACTACCAACAGTGGGGTCGAATCTGGGGTCTGGTTCCTGAGTCCATGTTGGGCCACAACTCCTTGGCAGCAAGTTTATGATGAAAGGAAAACACGCAGCTGACTAGGATTTAAGAGATTTGCTCAAGGTCAAAAGGGACACCTTCGCGTGACAAGCTTCCCGTGAAAAGCCCAGGGCACCCGCAGAATCAAAGCTATTTGTTAAGGCATATCAGGCAGCCAAGAGCTTCCATTAAGCCCTGTTTGTAGAGAATTTAGGGAATTAAAATGAAATAGAAGGCATGGCCCCTTCCTTTTAGGAGTTTGAAGTCTAATGGAAGGAATAAAATACACAGGCCAGAAAATGGGACAGCTACAAATGAAAATAGATAGGAACATTTGCAGAAGAGCAGCAGAAACATGCAAAGACGGTCACTGTTAATTGGACATGTACAGATATATACAGTTGAGCTAAAACAGCCGGCGAGTATCTGGGGGAAAAAAACAGAAGCCTGTGTAACATTGACGGTGTAAGTAAGGTTTTTAGAAAGAGATTTCAGCCTCAGGTCAGACCATTCGATGACCCACCACCGCACCTCCAGACTTCACCTCCCTGCTGTCAATCCTGTGTTGAGACTGACTGGGCCTTAGGCTGAAAAGGCAAGCAGGAGGCGAGCCAGATGCTTTGGATGGCGTGGGGAAGTGTGTGAGAATCTGTTGATGATTATCAGGATAGACAAGTACAGCTCCCTGAAAACCTGGACACGTGTCCCCATGCCTGTTGATGAGACATAGAAATGAGTCAGTCAGACCAGAGAGGCCGCACTGTGGATTCTGTCCAGGTGGTGATATTACTTTAATCTAAGGTGCAGAACCAAGAATAGCTCTAAGGAGTCTTGGCAACATTTGCCTGGGGATGCGCCTCTCTGCTGTATTCTTACACCCCATCCCTGGTCAACAGACACACTCAGCTCTTCCGGAGTGGAAGATGGAGGAAGTCAGGACCAGACATAAAGGATCCACCAGTCCACAGGCCAGTAAGAAAGGCCCTCTGCCCATCCCACCCTCTTCCTGCCTTGGACGGGGCGGCAGGCCCCGGCTACAGAGACGCGGCCGCCCGTTCAGGATCAGGGGTGTGACAGAGCGGCTGCCCTGATAAGGCATGCTCACAGGCCACAGGGAGCGCAGCTCAACAAACAGATTTTTGATTGCCTTTTCTGACATATTGCCCCAGACCTTTCTGTACCGTTTGCACAACAGCCTGGCATTCAGTGGGCAAACATAGCTGATGATGCTAAAATTGTTCCACTTTCTGTGTTAGAATTTCATCCTAAATGTGATGCTTCATTCAGTACGCAACCCCCAGGTATAAGCGTTGGAAGAGAAGGGAGAAGGCCTACAGTTCCTCAGGTCTCCCTTTTCCCCAGGCCCCACCGTGAAGTGACATTTTTGTCCTAAACTCCGCGAGAAAATGACATGAAGTGTCCTGTGAACCCTCTCCAGCACGCTTCCATTTCCACAAACCCTGCCTGATAAACTTTCACTGGCTTGTATCAGAGTAGGAAAGAATTCTCATTGTGGCCAAAAGTGTGTGTTAAGTGGTTGCTAAAAGTGTTCTCCAGTTTACCTTGAAATAAAAGCCCCAAAGTGACCGCAGGGAAGGGGTTCCTCCTCTCCCATTGCCTGTTTATACAGAATTAATTCTTTCAAACTACAAGCACAGAGCAAAGCAATATCACACTGAGAAAAGTGTGCTGAAAGAATTAGACACACATTCCTAGGAAGTTGCACCTATCAATACTCTGTTTTATAAATTGTTAGTTTAAAAATTACTTTTGTGCTTTCTTTCATGATATTTGCATTTCAGAAAGTAACATTAATCTTTTCTTCACTTGGGGTATCATAGGGTAAAGAGCTTATCCTAGCAATGGATGAATATTTTTCAATTCCTGCTTTTGCAAAAGTGAAACACTGCAGTAACATCAGGAATAAAGAATTACAAACAATAGTGGCAGAAGTCCTAGAGACCTTCACTGGAGGGTCGGGATGGCCGCAAAGCCCCCTTTGGATCAGTGGCAGACTTCACCCCGCCGTGTAGGCAGAGCTTTGACCCCCCCAGCGCAGGCTCTGCCCCACCATGCAGAAAATGGTGTGTGCAGAGTGGCTGTCAGGAAGTAGCCCAGAATCTGTACGATTTTCTTCACAATTAAAATTTCCTGCTAACAGTTTGTAAGTGGATTCACAAAAGCTTAATTCTACAGAGAGCAGGAGGGAAATAGCTGTTAAAAACAGGACAATCACAATTCACCACAGGAACATTTGTGGACATAAAAATTTGGCCCAAGGTACATATATTGAGTTGTGGATTATAGCCTGTAGTATAACTGTGGCCATCTACAATTAATTGAAAGGAAGTCATTTTCTAATTAGGATTGTCATCCATCTACAGCCTGGGGTTAAAAAGTAGGAAAGGGAAAAAGAAAAGACAAGAAAAAACCCTCTGCACACCAATTTCACGAACTTGTCCATTTTTAATGCTTAGCCAGGTTAGAGTAGTTCTAAAAGCTGAGATCTGCAGCCTAAAAATGTGAGTATGGAATTGATTCCCTTTTGTAAAATTAGATTATTGATTCTCTAAACATCTGGTTATCTCTGGGATTGAGTCTTATTACATGATTCCAAGAAAAGATGAAAATCAAGAAGTGCTGAATTTCACTCCATGATTTTTTTTTCAAGTACCTAAATATGGAGCCTTTATCCTTTGGAGCCCGATCTCTTCTTCCTCCTTTGAGAAGAGGCAGAGGGTGAGTAGAAAGAACACTGGCCTTTGTGTCAGAAGGTGGAGGGCTCACATCTACCTGTAACTGTCTCTAGACCTTGGAAAAATCACTTAATTCCTCTCAGCCTCGGTTTCCACATCCATACAAAAGGGATAAACCTGTCACAGAGACTACCTTGGAGGTCCTAATGAAGGTTAAATGACGCAGCACAAGCAGGACTAACCGGGGGGGCAGACCCCTTGGTTCGATGGCTCCAGCCCGAAGCTGTGCGTTTCTGCACCCCTAAGGAGTGATAACAGGGGAGACAGCAATGGGACACAGCAGCCGCTGTCTGCTGGTCTGTGTCTTAGGTGCCTTTACCTTCCTTTTTTCCTTCTTGTGTGTATTTAAGAGGTACAACATCTTACTCCTTGGAAGAAAAATTATCAGCAACCTAGCCGGCATATTAAAAAGCAGAGACATCACTTTGCCAACAAAGGTCCATCTGGTCAAGGCTATGGTTTTCCAGTGGTCATGTATGGATGTGAGAGTTGGACTGTGAAGAAAGCTGAGCAGTGAAATATTGATGCTTTTGAACTATGCTGTTGGAGAAGACTCTTGAGAGTCCCTTGGACTGCAAGGAAATCCAACCAGTCCATCCTAAAGGAGATCAGTCCTGGGTGTTCACTGGAAGGACTGATGTTGAAGCTGAAACTCCGATATTCTGGCCACCTGATGCAAAGAGCTGACTCATTAGAAAGACCCTGATGCTGGGAAAGATTGAAGGCAGGAGGAGAAGGGGACGACAGAGGATGAGATGATTGGATAGCATCACTGACTGGATGGACATGAATTTCAGTAAACTCTGGGAGTTGGTGATGGACAGGGAGGCCTGGTGTGCTGCAGTCTGTGGGGTTGTGAAGAGTCAGACACGACTGAGTGACTGAACTGAACTGGAGCTGGTTGCACTAGTGGTTAAGAACCTACTTGCCAATGCGGAAGGCACAGGAGACCGGGGTTTGACCCCTGGGTCAGGAAGATCCCCTGGAAAAGGAAATGGCAACCCACTCCATTATTCTTGTCTGGAGAGTCCCATGGACTGGGTGGGCTCCAGTCTTCAGGGTCACAGAGAGTCGGACGTGACTGAAGCAGTCAGCACAGTGGAGCTGGAAGCACGGTCAGTGCATTGACAGTCGCTAGACGCGGGATGCCAGAAACACTTGCCAAAAAGGGCTGTGAAAAGGAGATGAATACTACGTAGAAAACATTAAATATTCCCCAAAGGGGCTTGGATGTAGCTGCAGCTGAGCCTTCCAATAAGCTTTTAGTGCAGAAGGAATGAAAAATAGGTGTGAAGGACGCTCAGCAATGATCCTGAACACAGCAGGTTACTCACTGCCTACTTGGCATCAGGGTGCCTGCAGGCGGGCTCTGGCAGGCAAGGCCCTGTTCCTTGTCTTCTCTCCTTGCCTTTCTTAGCCCCTCCATCTGTCCATCCATTCCCCAGATACCAGAGCACCTACCTCGAGACGTGCACTGTTGGCCCTGGGACTTCTGGGGTGGGCAGGACGGGCACACTGCTGCTCACTTGGAGCTCACGAAACCCTGGGGGCGGCTGCTGCTTACCAGTGATGCAGGCAGGCACCGTGAGCTCTGGCAGGGCAGGGCAGGGCGATGTGCACGCCACCAGCGGGAGAGTCACAGGCAGGCCTGGGGCCAGCAGGAGTCCACAGGAGTGAGTGGCGCCGGATTCGAGACTCAGAGGGAAAGGGGGAGTTGGCTAAACAAAGGTGAGTGCCGACAGGACCTCAGAAGCTCTGTCCCGAAAGTAATCTGGCTAGCTCTTTTCTGTAAGCCCTATGGCAGTGGCCTCAGAGCCTGAATCGATTTACACTTGCTGTAGGTTAGGTAAGACTGTACATTATTAAATCATGCCCTGGAAGCATTGGGGGGTTCCCCAGAGGTCTCGGGGCTCAGTGAGGGGAGGTGGGGGATGGAGGTGCAAGACCCGTGTCTTTTGAGGCAAGGAAGCTGAGCGGGGGACTCCCTGACCTCCTCTCCCTGATTTGACCAGCCCAGCCCTGCCTTTATGCTTTATGCAGTGGGAAATGCAGGTATGTATTTTCAGGGCATTTAAAAATAATGTTTGAACAGCTCTGGGATAGACTATGGATTTATTGTGCTGTCCTTAGTCACTCGGTCATGTCCAACTCTCTGCGGCCCCATGGACTTCAGCCCGCCAGGCTCCCATGTCCATGGGGATTCTCCAGGCAAGGATACTGGAGTGGGTTGCCATGCCTCCTCCAGGGGATCTTCCCAACCCAGGGATTGGACCCAGGTCTCCCCCACTTCAGGCAGATTCTTTACCAGCTCAGCCACCAGGGAAGCCCAAGAATACTGGGGTGGGCAGCCTGTCCCTTCTCCAGGGGATCTTCCTGACCCAGGAATGGAACCGGGGTCTCCTGCATCGCAGGCGGGTTCTTTTCCCGCTGAGCCACCAGGGAAGCCCAGTAAGCCATGGGTTTGTTAGAGTTTCTTAATTTTACTGGTTTGGAACATTTCTTCATATTTGTGTGGCAGTCACTTCAGTTGTGTCTGACTCTTTATGACCTCATGGACTGTAGCCCGCCAGGATTCTCTGTCCATGAAATTCTCCAGGCAGGAATACTGGAGTGCGCTGTTCTTTAGTCAGTGGGTAATGAGGAACTATACGATTTTTGAGTGAGGAGATGAATTCTAATGGGGTAGTAAAAAAAAAAAAAGTTAGTTTGACAGCAGATTTTAAGATGGAAGAAGGCAGTATGAAATTAAGGGCAGGGAGATTAATTAAGAGACTACTTGGATAGTCCAAATAAGGGTGCTGAACTCTGGCAGTGGCAAATGGGCATGGGTGTGTGGGGTACGTGAGAGAACTGGGAAGATCAGGGGCGTGTAACTTGAGGACTGATTAGATACGGAGGGTGAGGGACAGCTGGGAGTTACCGAAATAGTGATGCTAACTTAGACAGAGACTTTGGGAAAGGAGCTGGTTTGAGCGGAGTTCAATTTGGAGCATCCTGAGCTTTAAGTGACAGAGCATTTGGGAATAAAACATGAAATCAGGTAGGTAATATATGTCCTTGGGTGAAAGAGGGGCTAGGAGAAGAAATAAAGATTTGGGAGTTAACAGCTTGGAAGTGATGGTTGACCCCTTGGCAGTGAGTAAGTTCTCTGAGGGGAGATACAGAAAGAAAAGGGCACAGGGCTGAGCAGAGCAGTGCTGGAGTGCAGCTGTGTTTCAAGGATGAAGGAAGGAGGCTGCGGGAACCGGGGGGAGGCAGAGACCCCAGAAGGAAAAAGCGGACTGGAATGAGAGCGTCTCCGGGCGGTCACAGGATGCCAGGATGTGTAGGCTGAAGACAGAGGCCGCCCAGTCTGTCCCTCGGTGGGGAGAGCAGGGCTCCATGCAGCCTGCAGTTGACCATCCCCAAGCCCTCTGCCCCTTAGTCGCTCTCCCTGGAGTCCCGCAGAAGCCTTGTGGACAGGGGTCTTTTCTGTCTTGCTCACTGCTGAATCCCCAACACTGTGCAAGGGCGTCTGTGTAAGGTCTGCATAGCTTGTTAGCTGATCAAAGCACACCTGTTCAAAGACCCTCCACAGTTTGAAAACTGAGCTGCTCTTTCCTGCTTTCCTCTGTGATGTTTTCTCCTTAATACTCAGTACCTTACAGTTGAGTATGAATCTCTAAATTACTAGATATCAACTGTAAAATCAGGCAAATCACAATAACCATGGCAATTGTCCATAGTAGTTCATTGTTTACACCTAGTTTCACTAACATTGCTATTGGTTATCATCACTGTGGACTTACTCTGTAAAACATAAGAAGAAGAAAATAAATAATGACTTCACTTTCCTTTTTCAAAGTCACAGACTATGTTTCTGGGCTTCTCTGGAATGTCTCTCTATGCCTTGCTTTTTATGAAGGTCTCACTGAATTTAAGTGAAAGTGGAATCTTTGGTATAGGAAAAAAAAACTTGATAGCACAAAAGTTATTCTGAGGCCTAACTAAGGAAATTTACATCTCCTACCCTCCCTCCAGGATCCCCCTACTTAGAGTCAAGTTATATAAAAACCACTACTCTCCTACAGGACTTAAAAAGTTAGAGTGATCAGACATCTCCTTGGTCAGCCACGTTTATCAAGCACATGCTATGTGTGTGCACAGAAATCGTGAGGAATATGAACAGGGGGCCCCTGAGTCCTAGGAGAGCTTGTAATCAGGCTGTGAGCAGCAGAAGATAAGGCATAGAGACCTTCGATTAGGGTTTCTGGAGCCAAGACAAAAGCCAGAGAAGAATGAGGATTTATGTCATATTCCTGGATTCTTTGGGCTAGAGACATATGGGTCACTAGGAAACAATATGGATTTGAACACACAACCCTGTGGATCAGAGTTGGACAGCAATTGGACAGTATTAGCTCTTCTAGAGAATGAACCCTGGTGTGGGCATCAGGGAAACTGAAACCTGAGCCCAAGAAAAAGCAATGTTAGTTCTTGTATTGAAAACTCCTGGTCTTGGTCCTGTGCGCATGTGGGGCAAGGATTTTGGTTGGCATTCTAAAGTGAAGAAGAATGTAGTTGTCGTCTGGAACACTGTCTCTTTGAGGTCTCCCAGGAGTCACCTGGGAGCTTTCCTACCCTCTGAGACTGTGGTAGACTCTGCTCAAATCCCTATGCTGACAACTGGGGGTCACTGCGGACTCAGCGCAATTGCTATTAACTTCCAGGCTTGCTTTTATTCTCTATCTCCTCTCCTGCATCCATTTCACAATGTATTAATAGGTCCTCATCAAGCCAAAGGTCTAACTCAGGTGCAATACCCCCAACCCCTTATCGGCATTCATAAGACATAGGATCACAAAGAGTACATCACAAGTTTTGTAGCTTTATTGAATATTTGTTGTGGCAAGGGGCAATCACATCTACTTGTTTACTGAGCACCTACTATGTTTTACAGATACAGCAGCGAATAAGACAGTTTGGCTTTCTGGGGCTTCCGATCCGATGAGTGAGATAGATGATAAGCTCCATGGAGGCTGCGACCACCTGCCACCTCTGACTCCCTCGCCGTTCCGCCCACCTCTTCCACTTAGACCACTCTGTGATGCTCTGCAACCCTCTGACACCTGTGCTCTGACATGTGACGTCCGTGGCCTCTCCGGTTTGCTCTCTTTCAGGATCCTCAGGCCTTGGGACCTTGGCGGGCATAAATGTCTCCACCTTGTTACACAGGATTCCTCAGTGCTAAGGAACTAGGACATGGCAGACCTTCCACTGGAAGTTTAGGGTGATGGAGAGGACAATGGGGTCAATATGGAAATTGGTGTCAGCCAGCTCTGGGGTCAAATCTCTCTTGCTCTTGCTTGTTGTGTAGCCTTGACCATGTTCCTTCATCTTCCTATGCCTTCATTTTCCTCATCTGAAAAATGGAACCATTAGGATCATCCTTTTAATATGAGGGTACAATTCAAATGTGACAACAAAGTCTCCAGCTCACTAAAGATTGAGGGCAGGAGGAGAAGGGGACGACAGAGGATGAGAGGGTTGGATGGCATCACCGACTCGCTGGACATGGGTTTGGGTAAACTCCAGGAGTTGGTGATGGACAGGGAAGCCTGGCGTGCTGTGGTCCATGGGGTTGCGAAGAATTGGACACCACTGAGCGGCTGAACTAACTGAATAGATGCACAAACATGACGGGTTCATTTCCTTCAGGTTCTGGAGAGATTCTGTGGTATATAATCACACCTCGGCCCAGACCCAAGAGAGGCACTTGGGCTAATGTGAGAGCAAGGAGGGTAGCACTTTCTGCCCATCAGGGCGGGGTGGGGGTGGGCAGCACAAAGATTCATAGGTCACCCCAGGACCCTCTGATGAACGGCAGGCTGACCCCTTCGTGTGGTGAATTAGGTGGGACATTTAGACGCGAACGCCTCCTTCCCGCAGACCTCGGGGCTGAGGCAGGAACTCTCACTCCTGCTCCAGCAGGGTGGGCTGTCGGTGGACCCGGGGCAGGAGGGTGGTCACCTCTGGGCCCCTGGGTGTGGCTGTGGCAAGGACGGCAGAGGATGCTGGGGAGACCTCAACGCCGCGCGGACCGCGGGGCCGGGTGTCTCATGGGGTAAGGGCCAGGTCAGGAAGTGTCCCCGAGGACAGAGGAAGCCCGGCATGGCTGGCCTGGCGGAACGGGACAGCTTCGGGAGGAGGGAGCCCCTGCCTCTCAGGGGACCCCGGGGCTGCAAAGCTGAGATGCTCAGACCCGCCAGCCGCTCTGAAAGGTCCTCGAGCCCAGGGTCCCCACTCACGGCCGCTGGTCTAGCAGCACCAAGTAAGCGCCCAGGTTGGAGGCAGGCTGGGCGTTTAAATACTTCTCGGGATTCTTCTGGCTTGGGGCAGGCCCAGAGGGTCTTCAGTCCTAACTGCTGTGCGCCGGTTCATGGACCACACCTGAGCAGCAGGGTCGGAGACTGACTGCCCAGCAGACACATCAGTCTTCTCGACGGCATTCCATCAAACGGTTGTCCGACCTCCACTCGATCACCTTCTGCGAAAGGAATCTCTTCCCCTCTGATGAGGCGCATTCAAACTTTATCCCTCCTGGTGAACAGCGTATGTCAGTGTGATTCCTAAGTCCTGCTTTGGGTATTTCTAGACTCCTCTATCCGTCGGCAACTCTGCCAGTAAATCCTTTCTTGTGTTTTCCTACCATGTGTCATTTTAAAGGCTGTAACACTAACTGTAGGTTTTCTGGTAGAAAATATGGAAAATATAGATCCATAAAGAGGAAAAATTCATAATAGAGCTAACACCAGCAACTAGAGACACGTGCTTTTGAAACATCAGTGTTTCCTCGGGCTGCTTCCTCGCCACACTTTGAAACCTGACTCTCGAGTGTCTCTCCCTCAGAGTCTCCGAGGGCGAGGCTCGGTGGCATCTCTGTGTCCTCTGACTGCTTCCGGCAATGGGCGGCGGCTCTGCCTCGCCTAGGGCTCCGAGGCCCGCCCTTCAGCGACTCCGCAGCGCCTTCTCTGAACTGGAGCAGACGTGGCAGCGATGAGAGGGAAAGCCACTCAGGCCCTCCGGGTGAGCTGGTGCTGCTGGCACTCACTGAGTTGGGGCTATGTTTCAAGTCACCAAAACGGCTTTACAACGAACCATTCTAGTTCCTTGACTTGATACTGCTTGTCACCAATAAACAAAGATTTTAAGGACTCTGTAACCACAAAACAGAATATTTTTCACTTGGCAAAGTCAACTGGCTCTCAGCCAGTCATGTCTTCACCCCATCCAGCGTCATTAGTCTCCTGATCAGCTGGCGTGGGTTCCTGAATTATAACACCGAGAACCAGACCCTGTTCCCATCATTTCTTACTAAATCTGCAGAGTTGAACAGATTACTTTGCCCCTCTATGCCTCAATTTCCTCATTTTAAATGAGGACAGTAGTACTATTGCTGCCATTCCATAGAGTTCCTATGTGGATTAAATGTGTTAATCCACACTACGTTTTTAAGATGGTGTGTGACTCATGAAAAAACTCGATAGATGATATCCATTTTGCACACACACAGCCACAAGTCATTTTAATGAGCAAGATAAGTTGAGACAAGGAGATAAGCTTGGTACTAACACTTATTTCTGTATTTTAACCTTGAGAAAGACTTGGCGAAGAAAAAGTCGCAAAGTGCCTGGAGCCAAGGTCTGTCCCAGCATACCACACTGGGACAAGGGGTCTGCTGCACCTGGGGAGCCGCAGCAGAGACTGTCAGCGGCGGCCCTGCGCCCGCTACGAAGAGGCCGTGCTCTGAGCTTTGCACGCACGGCTGGGACGGGACAGGTGCTCAGTAAACGCTGTGAGGTGAGGACCTGTCACCTCGTCGCTCACTGTTACCAGCTCTGCCCAGTGGGCAGGCTGAGAGATAGCCCAGGACACAGGTAGGAAAGCTGGGAAATTGGTAATGTGTTTTGGTTAGGACAGGGGGGTCTCCCTAGGACAGAGCATTGAGGATCCCACATCACTCGCTCCGCAGGCTGCTGAAACCTCTGATCGTGCGTCGCATGCCCTGGGCGCTGTGCTGAATCCCCAGGGAGTCCCTGGCTCCCTCTGGGCGATCCGTGCCTCACTGCAGGCGTGGCTGGGTTTCTAAAGAGTCCCTCAACAGGACCCTGATTTTCAGAAAAAGATAGTTTTCAACCCTATGCACCGAACTTCCTATAAGAGGGTTACTTAGACACTAGAGACAATCTGGCTCATTACTAAATAAATTCATTTTTATGTTTTCTAACCCAGACTTTAACTAGCTTACCCTATACACTGATCTTGGAATTTATAGCCCTTTTTCCCTCTTTGTGTATCCCTTTATTTACTTTTTAACAGTTCAGTTGAGATATAATTGATCTATAAAACTGTACTAGTTTCATGTATAAAGCAAAGTCATTTCATAGTTGTATACATTACAAAATGATCACTCAGCTGGTAAAGAATCCACCTGGAATGCAAGAAACCCAAGTTTGATTCCTGGGTTGGGAGATCCCCTGGAGAGGGGACAGGCTACCCACTCCGGGATTCTGGCCTGGAGAATTCCATGGACGGAGGAGTCTGACAGGCTATAGTCCATGCGGTTGCAAAGAATCAGATGTGACTGAGCAACTTTCACACAGGCACATACATTGCAAAATGATCACACAACAAGTCTACTTAATATTCATCACCTTACAGTTACTCTTTTATAATATAGATGATTAATACCATAAATTTCCCGTAAGTGAACTTATATAGATTAAACTGTAGTTTTTCTTTTTTTATTCAGTTCAGATTGCTTCCTAATTTTCCTTTTGATTTCTTCCTTGGCCCATAAGTTATTTGGAACTGTTTCTACTTAATTTCCAAACTTTGGGACAAATTTCCAGAAATATTGTGTCATATTTTGTGTAACTTTACTGAGACTTGTTTTATGAACCAGAATATGGTCTACAGGTCCTGAATATGTCTTCTGGCATTTTACAAAGGTCAGTAGGTCAAGGTGGTTCACACTGGTTTTAAACATTTTGAACACTTGCTGAACTTCGTCATCTTGCTCCATCAGTCACTGGGAGATGGAGGTTGAAATGGCCACCAGGACTGTGGCTGTTCTGTTCCGTGCTGAGATTCTGTCAGGTCTGCCCCATGTATTTTGATGCTCTGTAATTAGGTTCATTCATGTTTAGATGCTTATGTCATCCGAATAAACTGATCTCTTTATAATTACAAAATGAGCTTGGTAGTATTCCAAGTAGTATTTTGCTGCTCTGAAATCCACCTCAGTTGATAGTAATATAGAAGTATAGTTCAGTTCAGTTCAGTTTAGTCGCTCAGTCATGTCCGACTCTTTTCGACCCCATGAACCGCAGCACGCCAGGCCTCCCTGTCCATCACCAGCTCCCAGAGTCCACCCAAACCCATGTCCATTGAGTCGGTGATGCCACCCAACCATCTCATCCTCTGTCGTCCCCTTCTCCTCCCGCCCTCAATCTTCCCCAGCATCAGGGTCTTTTCAAGTGAGTCAGCTCTTCACATCAGGTGGCCAAAGTATCAGAGCAAAAGTAGTATAGTAGATGGTTGTTACTCCAACTTTTCTTTGTATAGCTTTAATCTTGGTGTATCTTTTTCTGTCCTTTTAAGTTTAACTCATGCATGTCTTTATATTTAAGGTAAGTCTCCTGTGAGGCAACACTTATTTAAGTTCAACAAGCTTTGCCTTTTAATTGGAGCATTTAATGTGATTGTTGACATGGCTAGGTTCATGTGCATCATCTTGTAATTTTGTGTTCTATTCTTACCATCTCTTCTTGTTCTCTTTTTTCTTCTTTTTTGCCTTATGGTAAATTATTTACATTTCTTGTGATTTCAGTTTATCTCCTTAGCTACATTGTTAGCTAAAACTCTATTTTGTTATTTCAGTGGCTGGCTTAGGGTTATAGCACCCATCTTTAACTCATCACAGGCTATTGTCAGCTGGCATTATTCCAGCTCATACACTGCATGACAGCCTTTAAGCAGCATGCTGCCATTCCTTCCTCTCTGGTCTCTGTGCTTTGGCTGGCACACATTTTATTTCTTGTATAAGCTACACAATATACTGCAATTATTTTTGTTTAAATACTCACTTATCTTTTAAAGAAATGTAGATAATAAGGAAATAAATTATATATTTACCCACATAATTATCTTTTCTGGTATTCTCACTTCCTTTCTGCACATCTGTACTTCCATCCATTATTATTTGCTTTCTGCCTGAACTTTAAATTTTCTTTCAGGGTATGTCTTCAGGTTAATATTATGCTTTTAGCTTTTGTATGTATAATAATAATAATAGTTGCCTTTGTTTTTGAGAGATTTTTTTCACTGAGTATAGAATTCTATGTTGATAGTTTTTTTTTCTTTCAGTAATTTTGCATATGTGGCCCCACCGTTTTCTCACTTGATTATTTCTAGTGAGGACTCTATTATCTTTATCTTTGTTCCACTCTACACAATGTACCTTCTTTCTTTGGCCACTTTTAATATTTTCTCATTATCATTGCTTTTGAGCAAATCAGTTATGATGTGTCCTGGTATCATTTTTTTCGTGCTTCTTGTATCTGAGGTCCATTGAACTTCTTGGATCTATAATTTTCATTAAATTTAGAAAATTTCCAACCCTTATTTCCTCAAATATTTTTGTCCTTCCACCTTCACCTTCAAAGATTCCAATTACACAAGTATTAATCTGCTTGAAATTATTCCATAGCTCAATGATGCTCTGCTCATTAAAAAAAGAAAAATTATCCTTTTTCTCTGGGTTTCATTTTGGATAGTTTCTATGGTTAGATATTTGGATTCACTAATCTTTTCTTCTTCGATGTCGCATCTGCCAGTAACCCCAGCCAGTATATTTTCTAACTTACACATTGTAGTATAATCTCTAAAAATTTGATTTGGGTCTTTTTTGTATCTTAACTTTTTGAACATATGGAATAGAATCACACCTGTTTAATGTCCTCATCTGCTAATTCTAATATCTGTGTCAGTTTAGGTGGGTTGATTTTTCTCCTTATTATGGACAGTATATGGATAGTATTTTTCTGTTTTCTTTTTTCTTTTTTTTTTATGCCTGGCAGTTTTGTATATATGCCAGATCTCATGAATTTTATTTTTTTGGGTGCTGGATATTTTGGTATACTTATAAGAATACTTGAGCTTTATTCTGGAATGTAGTTGTTTGACAATTTATTTGATCCTTTCTGATCTCGCTCCTAAGATTTAGTAGACAGTGTCCAATCTAGGGATATTTATTCCCCATTACTGAGGCAAGGCTTTCTTGTGTATTCTGTTTAGTTCTCTGTGAATTCTGAGGTTTTCCAATCTAGTCATAAGAACAGATACTATTTCCAGATCTACATGAGTGCCAGACTCTCTTACTTCAAATTTTTTGAATGGTTCTCTTCACTCAAATATTTCTGCACAAGCATGCTCTGCTCAAACCTCATCTGAGGCAGACCCTCTCCACATCTCTGGACTTTCCACCTGTGCAGCTCACCCCGGGTGCATGCGCCTACGTCCACTGATTACCTTGGCATCTCTGGACTCCCAGCTCCATCTCTTCAACCTCAGGGAGCCGCTGGCGTCTCGCCGGTCCCCTCCCTGTGCCATGGCCTGGAAACGCCCTCAAGGCAGTAAGCTGGGCTGCCCGTCTCTCAAGGGTTACTGTCCTCAGGCACCGCACATCCAGAGTTCTTCATCTATTCTTTCATATATTTTGTTCCTTTTCTGGTTGTTTAGTGTGGAGAGTATCTCTGGTCCCTGTTGCTCTATTTTGGGTGAAAGTGGAAGCCTCTACCATTTCTTTTTAAATCTACTCTGGTTATTTTTGTTTAATTGACAGGTTACATAGCCCTTCACCCTTGAGTACAGTCTGTGGAAAGTCTGAGATATGACCACTTGTATCTAGCTTTTGTATCAATCCCTGGGATCTACTTTAGACATTAACAATATGATTTGGCATGTGTATTAGTTCCCTAAGGCCTTTGTTTCCTGACTTCACCACTGAGCTGACGCCTCTCTTCCCCTGGGTTCCCCCTCACATCTGTTACATATGTGTCAACTACACTAACTGTTTACAGCACCAGAGCTTTTAAGTTGGTAC